AAATTATATTATTAAACCAAATATAAATTACTTCATTATTGAACCTAAATTAAATTATAATTAAAAAAATTGAATTAAAAAGTTACACAAAAAATGAAGAATTTTAAATAGTTAATTTGATACTAATATCAATATATTTTTGCCAAATTTTTATGATCTCTTCAAATTTATATTTTATTCAAAAATAAAAATATTATCGCTTTTTCAAAATCACGTAAGATCATATTATAACATCAAATGAGATAAATAATAAAATAAAATATTAAAAATCAAGATGTATCTCGCTGTATTACGCGAGTACCAATCTAATATTAACAAATTACTGAGATGTAAGAAAAATCACCAACTTGACCCAATGGACTCAAATTAATGAGTACGTATCCCTTCAAAATCTCAACAATTAAAATAAGGATATATGTTTTTGAATTTTAAATTACAACTCCATATTCATTTTGCATACATGTAACCCCATTAGGAAAAGAATAAATTAATCGATTTTAAATATCTATATCTATATTATATTATAAAGTATTTGATAAAAATTCTTAAAAATCATTTTTTATGCATTAAGTATTGTTTATTGATGCATATTACTTAAAATTCAATATTATAAGTAAATTATGCATAAGTACAACTTATTAAAGTTTCATGTTTGAATTCGTGTAATTAACTACAGATAAACATAATCAAATAGAGGATAAACATCTCATTTTAAATATATAAAATCTAAAATATAATTAAAATAATCATTGACTTCTAACAAAATACTTAATTATTATCAATATAAAATATTATATTATTAAACCAAAAATAAAAAAAATGAATTATAGAAGTACACAAGAAAACGAGAAATTTTAAATAGTTAGTTTTGTACTAATATCAATATTTATTTATAATTTTTTATAATATCTTCATATTTATATTTTTTTCAAAAATATAAACATTATCATTTTCTCAAAATCTCATAAAACTGTGTTATAACATCGACTGAGACAAAGAAAGAAATAAAACAAAACAATTAAATGTATCTTACTACATTGTGTGAGTACTCTTCTAGTATATGTGTGTGTGTGTGTGTGTGTCCGCACGCACGCACGTACGTGCACGTGCCATTAAAAAATACATATAAAAGAGGACAAAGTACTAAAATGACTTAAATTAGGTTGATTTGGAATTAAAAAAAAATAGAAAAATGTCATGTCAATAAACATTGATGACATGTAAGTTAGTAACTTGTTTAGTAGATAAAATATGTATAAAATAGAAAGAAAAAAATATAAGTTTCGTATATTAATTGGAAAAAAAAAAGTTCATTATATTAAATAGAAAGTAAACCAAACTTCATTACGTTTAAACGCATTTTGCGCTTCTTAAATAAGGATGAACAATCCATTCACCTTCAAGGTTTTTACCAGAGAGTGTCAATGTTACATTTAAAAAGGGTCGTTGAAATTTTTGGGGCCTCCGAATTTTTTTTGAGCCCAATTATATATTTTAGCATGTACCTAGGAAAATATATGTTCTGATTTTTAGCCAATGATTTACCTCGCTCTCTTCGACCTTCTTATGGACTTAACAAATGATTTTGGACCCTCTTATTTTAGCCTGTTTGGGTAATTATGATTTTGGCAATAGAGATGGCCAAAAATCGGTCATGTGTTGAAATAGTAACAATCCGGACAGGTCACGATCCCATCGAAAATACTAACTAGTCCCGGGCTAACCTAACCGGACCTTGTTTTTTGATGAAAATCATAACCAGTCCTTAATCGACGGTCCCAAACCGATCCCAATCAGTTTCAGGTCGGGCCGGTCCCGGACGGGGCCTGAACCATTTGGCCATCTCTATTTGGCAATGTAGCACAATGCCTCAATCCCTCCCTCTTCTACAATATTTGTTGATTCATCGATTTTCAATTTTGATTACAAATCTGTAGTCTCTTCTTCTTAGATCTTTGTTTTGAAGATTGAAATCTCCTCGGCGGCTAGTCTCGTTCATTTTTCTTTTCCCGGTGACTAATTTTATAATTAAAACACCACCCACAAACCTTATTTAATAACATTCCTCTTTCTTGTTATTTGTTTATCTGTTTCTTATTCCGCGAGCAATCTCGCCTGTAATTTTGTTGACTTCGAACATTATGATACTCATCATCATTGTTCAGGACGCTATTTCCTTTTGATAACATGTAAAAAAAAAGTTGAGAATTTGGCTTTAGAATCGAGCTAGGGTTTCTTAAGAACTTGAGGTAAATAACAGTCAGTAAACTTCTATATGATAATCTTTCAACTTAACGACTTATTGGAGAAAGTTGATCACGAAGAACTGATTAAAGATTTTTCTCACACTGTTTGAAAATTAATTATATTTAAGTAAATTATGTATGTTACTTTATCGTTTTTTAAGACATTTTTATTGTTTTTAGTTTATAAAACTTTTAATACAATATATAATATAAACTTTTATATTTTATCTTGAAATTGTTTGTTTACCTATTAATAGTTCTATTAAAAGTCAACTTCTGAATTTAAGAGGTAAATCTTGTTTGACAAAAAAAAGTTTGTCTTTTAATAGTTTTAAAATTCTTTGAATGATTTTGCATCATGAATCTCCCTTAACCATTCGACACCCTAATTTCATCGTAAACAATTACCAAACAATTATATTTCAATTTACACTATATCATAAAAACCTCTTAATCATTCTGCAACTATCAAACAACCCCTTAATATAATTATAACAAGCACCTCCAAAACTTCAAAGTCCAATAACTTTGTTCACATTTTATAGTATTTTTCAAAAAAATCATGTGAACACAATCAGATCCAGAATAAATTAGAAATAATAAAAAGTCAAGCCATTTTTGACAAATAGTGTATGAGTTATGGTTTTGATTGGAGTCTGCATTGGTTTCAAGTGTGTGGTTTGTAAGATTTAAATGGTCAAACCACATCTTGTTTACTGAACTTGAATCACATATAACTTTGAAAACAGATTGACCATCATCACTTATTATATATATATAAATTCTCAGATGACATAACAACAGCCCTTGCTACAAAATTACCTTGGCATAATAACACAAAAAACTGGAAATAAAATTAAACCTCCTTCCTGCCTTCCTTACAACAAAACCAAACCTATCTTCATTCCAAACTCTTGTGTTTTTATGCATCTCTTTCTGTTTGTTTCTCCATCATATATGGCATGTTATGGTATCAAGGGAATTAACGATCGAAAAGAAAAAAAAGAACAGCGAATTATTGGTTGTTGAGTGATAGATTTTCAACAGAAAGATGGTCGGGTGTTAGGTCGGAGGGAGGCGGAGCTGCTGAAGCCGAAGCAACCTTGTGCATTATCATCGCCTCCGCCACTCGGATTGCCCTTCCTGATCCTGTGATGCTTATTTTCCTGTCATCAAAACCATACAATACCTATTACTGTTCAAACATCATTTCTCTACTACTACTACTTTGCTTCTTTTTTCTTCTTCAATTGGCAAAGAGGATGGTGAAGCTGAAGGAAATCTACAATTGGCACCTACAAGATTGTAATAATGGAAAATTTGATGGTCCAGAGGAGATCTATTTTCTATGTACATCTTTTTTTTGGTACATTTTGCAAACACTGGCCTTGTATATTTGGTTTACATGAGCGGGTCTAGAAGATAGTTCACGGTGAGGTTTGGTGCAGTTTGAGGCAAAACCGCACCGCATATGCGGTTTCAGCATTTTCTGAAACCACACCGCATACACCTCAAACCGCAAAAAACCGCACCGCGAAATGCGGTGTGGTTTACGCGGTTTGTGCCTTACACACTTTACGCCTACAAGCCAATATTATAAAATCAACAATAACGTGACCTTAGGCCAAAAAATATATAGTTTCAACATATCCGATTTCCAATTACATTACATAGATTAAAGATAGTTTAAGAAGTAAAAAGTTAACTTCAAACTAAATCGTTGAGACTTGAAAGTATTTTAAGACAGAAGGCAGAAGTCATACATCAATACAAAATTAAAAAAGAGATGGTGAAATCATGCCATAGATGTTGATTAAAGCCTAAAAGAGCCTAATGGATTATTGGGTTTTAATTTATTTGATCAAATTCCAAATTTGAACCTCATTAATCGATCATGAAGAAAATAGATTAAAAGGAACGTAGATTTAGCAATTATTCTATATGTGTGTGTATATGTTATAGATAAAATTAGAAATATATACATATATATAATGTGCGGTGCGGTTTGAACCGCGGTTTAATAACTCAAAACCGCAAACCGCCCCGCATAGTGTGGTCTGGTAAAAATGCAAACCGCATCGTGGATTTCTATTCCAGGCTTTGCAGTGCGGTGTGGGTTGTTTGTGTGGTTTAGCGGTTTAGGCGTGTGTCCAGTCATGAAACATAGCAAATGTAATTCCGTTACGGGTGCGTTAGGTATGTGGACGGGAATGGCCGGACCAGGATGGGGTAGGCGGGTGAAAGAACTGTGCAAGGTTTTAAGGTTTCAATCTCACACGGGCATATTAGTAATTATCCATCGTGTCCCATCTTTCTTATTTTTGTTCTACCTATTTTGGTGGACAGAAAATGCATTTTAGTCTCATTCAAGTCCTATCCTGTCATGTCCTAATCTAATATCATGTCGAACATGGGACAACTTTCACGTGTACCAAAGACACCCTTAATAACTATAGATTGACAAATGCCCCACTCTTGAAGCCGTTGGCATGAAGATATTGTGTAACGACAGTGTATCAAACTTTTTCTCTATTTTTGGTGCTTTTGGGAAAATGGACATATTAAAAAGGTGCATACCTGTCACAAGTCCCAGATATGAAATCACCTCTTTCAGAAATCTTGATCCTAGCTCCACTAATCTGCAAGAAGAGAAATTAAAATACAAAAAAAATGCAAGTAACGAGCAGAAGAAGAGTCACCTCCTTACTTACCTGACTAATCTCCATGATATTCCTACCACCACGACCAACAACAATCCCTATATGCTCGTCTGCAACACCCAGAGTCACTGAGTTACTCATATCTTCCTGCAAAACACCACCATGCTTTCTGTAAATTCAAACTATATACAATCACACTTACGACAAAATGAATACCAGAAGAAAGAAATCAAGAGGTTTACTACATAACACACAGTAAGTCGGTTACACCACAGAAATTCAACTTATCACCTAGAAGTAATCTTCATACAGTTTGGAATCCTACTACCGGAATGATTCAGAGTAGCAAACTGTTCTACAACATAAATCACTGATTATGCAAATGAATGACAACGTGGTTGCCTTCAAATAACTATTAGATAATTTTTTAAAAACGTTGACCATCTGGTGCTTATTAATTGGAATAGCATGCATCAAATGGGAAATTGCAGATTCAAAAAGAAGCATGAAACTGAAGCAAAGTTCTTTAGGATGTTAATAACCTTGTTATTCTGAAACTTTCCACCAACCCCACGAGGTCCGTAGTTGGGGGCATTGTACGGTGCTGCCGAACAGACAAACAGAAACAAAATCAGCACACTGAATTTCATTAACATCAAGTTTCAGTGAAACAAATACGGTATTTGTCAACAACGAAACTGAAAACTGCAAGCTATACATAATCAGTATATGCTAATTTGCCTATTACAAGCATCATTAGTAGCAGCGGACTGCAGAAGATTTGCCAAGCAATCAGCATTTGACAGTCACTCTGTCTTCCTCCTAAATAGGGAAATGAGACCCTATTCCACCAACCTGGCCTAGTTCAGCTAACATCCCCGGCTTAAACAAGATATTTGAAATCCCTTTCTGGTACTCTTGACCATCGAGATACATGTCTTCTTCGCTTATCTTACCACTAAATTTTTTCTTCTTTTTTTGGTGTCATCATGGGGGGCTCAGGTTGTTAAAGTAGAGAATCTTAGAAGTAGTGGAACCCTAGGTGTATTTTAGTTATTATTGTTATTGGGGCTGACTTTTTAATTTGGAGGATCTCTTAAATCGAGAGAGAAGACACTTAATGTGGGATTCCAAGAGAAAATAGTGACAGATGCATTGACAAGTTTGCACAAGAAATGCTACATGAACTCATCTCTACATTTTGTAGTCACATGCACAACAAATGCATTGGGATGTTTTTTTAGTAACAACTATCAATGCTTTGGAATGCTTGTAATGTATCACCATTGTAGCACTTGTGATGTTTGTGACGCCCAAATGTGTCCTGTGTAGCATTTCTCATGAATTCATCACCTTCTTCAATTGCTAAAAAGCCTAAAACACAACAAATACATGGTGCTCCCCAGATGCATATCCTCCATTTATGAATTCTTATAGACTTCAACCGAAAACTTCAATTAGAAAATTAAGAGTGCTTTGATTTCAACATGGACCTACGTGTTAGAACCTTCCATGTTCCCTCAAAGTACCACAGAAAATCATATCATGCCAGATTTTCTATTCATGGTACCCTTTGATGCCAAGAGAAGTGCTACATGTCACTAATTTTTGGATCTCAGACATCAATAAATGCACTGACAAGTTCATACAAGAAGTGCCACATGAACATCGCTCTAGTTTTGTGGGTCACATACATAATAAATGCATTGAGGGATTTTTTTATAGTACAATTATCAATGCACTGAATTGTTTGTGCTGTACCACCATGAAAGAACTTCTGATATTTCTGATGCCCAAAACTTGTGATGTTTGGTATTGTTCATGAATTCAACAACAAAATTACGGTGATGTTGGGGATACACAAAATGAGTGGTATTTAGTAATTCTGATGAATCCATCACCTTCAATTGCTAAAACAAAAAATTATGTTGCTCCCAGATGCATATCCTCCATTCAAGAATTCTTGTAAACTTCGACCATATTTAAATTTAAGAACTAAGGTGCTTTAATTGCAACACAGACCTAAGCATTAATTGCAACATGGACCTAAGCATTAGCACCTTCCATGTTCCCTATAAGTAAGACAAGAAATCATATCATGCCAGATCTTCTATTTAAAGTGTCCTTTGATGCCAGGAGAACTGCTACATGTCACTAACTTTGGGTTGCATACATCACAAATGCATTGACAAGTTTGTACAAGAAATGCTATATGAACATGTCTCCAGTTTTTGTGGTCACATGCATAACAAATGCATTAAAAGGTTTTTACGGTACAAGTACCAATGCATTTATGATGTTTGTGATGCTCAACATGCATGATGTGAAGCACTTCTCAAGAATCCATCACCTGGTTGAATTGGTAAAACAAAAAATTACAGTGCTCTGCTATTGATAGTAATTACTCACAAGCAACTCTAAACAGTACATGAGAATGAGGATGTTTCAAGTAAAAAGAAGGCATACCAGGATATGGAAATGGGGGGCCAATGGACTGTACATAGTATAGATCTTCAGACAATTTCAATAGAATGAGGTTAATAGCTTGCACCAGTTGTTGTAAGGTGCCAATTGCCGTAACCAGCCTATCATTTAATCCAACATAGTTGTTATCCTGAGGGGAGATCTTAATGTTAGCTTGAGAATCCTCAATGAAGGACCTGTAACACAAAAGATCAAAGCTGAAAGTTGTCAAAACTTTAAAATGTCAAAGACTCCGTCCCCCTAAAACTGATGCCTTTGAGCGATGTGAGTCTAAGAGTAAATGGCAGTGCATAATTTACTTCATTTCACATCTTGACAAAGTAAACGTGTTTTTTCTCAACTTATAGCCACATGGGTAATAGAGAAGCATTATTTTATCATTATTTAGAGTTTCCATGGGTAACAGCAGAAGATGGAACACAAAAAGTAACCCCACAAAAAATGGTAATAACAAAAAGTCAATCCAGAAAACTACAAGATTTGACTGAAACTAATCCGATTGCACAATTTACTAGCTGGGGGTGGAAACAAATTAGATAGGTCCATAAAATCAAAAAGGTGTTAGTCAGGACAAACAAATTGTGGAAAAGACACCAATAGAAAAAAGAAAGCTGAAGAACAAAATGAGTGATGTCAAAGGACCTATTGGACAGTATGGTTCAGTTCTGTCTGACATGAATCATCAATCAATGTATATGTCATTATGATCACAAGAACATCACCAACATCAATCAAATCGGTAAACAATATCTCTATGTTGTCACTATCACCTTCATAATACCAAATTTTACACTTGGGTAACATAAAACTTTTCTTTGTCAAAAATGCGAACTGTCAGCTTTCTTTTTCTTTTGGCGATCATGAAGAGTTAGATAACCAAGAAGGCAAGAAGCAAGTACATGAACCTAATGATCTACAGTCTAAATGGGTGTAGTGTTGTAACAACTTCATGCTATAAGTTAGGCAGCTTCCTTGTTTCCAGAAAATGTACAAAGAACCTATTGATCTAAAGTCTAAACCGATGGAAATTTAATAAGCTTTGCATATCTTAAGCACAAACCCCTGCATACAGTTCATGCTATCCTACCCACATGACAACAGGATCCATTGTTTTCATAGATAAATCCATGGTTCCAGTAAACCTTTTAAATAAGCTGATACCATTGACACATCCAAAGGTAAGCATGAGCATAAGGGTCCAACAGCTTCTTACAGAAATCACAAAAAAAGAAGCATTTTTTTTATTATGCAAGAGCATAGTGCTTCACCAAGAAGATGATAAGTACAAACCACCCCTTTCAGGAAGACAATATTAACTAGTTAATCAAATAAGAAAAATGATTAAACTACTAGTGTTCAGATGATTTTGAAGACCTCAAATAAGTACATCCACGTAAGAATATAAACAGATGTACAGATAGATCAGATTGAACAAATTCACATATCTACTTCAATGAACTAATGGATTATGGATGCAGCCTGTTTGTTGTGAAAACAAATCTCTCATGAGTTAAAAATATCTGCAGGGAGTGCCATGTAAGTTGCTAAACTTTACGCAAAAACAAAGCACAAGCAAATGGTAATTGGCACCAAACAATATTTCAAGATTCGATATTCAAAAATAATATTTCTCCATAAGGGTTGGGTCTTCATAAGTAATATCCTAAATATGCAGCATATCAAAGTAATACATCAAATGCAGTGAGCAGCATTCTTACCTTATCATGGATCCCCCCTTCCCGATGATTCCACCACAAGAGCTATTGGGTACAATTAGTCTAACCTTTGATCTTGGCTCACCCTCCTCACCTTCTTCAGTATAAAACTAATCAACAATACATATTTTGTAAGTTCAGTTACACAAGCTACCAGATGCAAATTGTGTTACAAGGATTACCTCAGTAAACAACTTAGTTAGGATAAGTTCAACAGCCTCGAGAACTTCATCAATTGTTCCAGACACCATAATAACCCTATCAGATGTTCCTGGAAAATACTCATAATTGCGCGACAACTGAATTCGTGCATTAGATCGTGATTGGAAATCAGAAATTGTTGTTCCACCCTTCCCAATAATTGAACCAGCTTCAGCATTTGACGCAAGAAATCTCAGATATGTAGTCTCAGTGCAGTCTTGAACATAAAATGAAATGATATTACTATTAGATCTTATAATAAGGCAGTGACAACTCATGTTTATGCAAGTACCTTGATTATGGAGATGAGATCTAAGAAAGAATATGGAAGGGGGAATTTGCACCACAACAAAGAGTATAAAGTAGACCACAAGATTCTTCAAGTAATCTAACTATGAATTGCCTACTGTGCATACAATGAAAATCCTAAACCACACACATGGGCACAAACAATGGTCAAGATCCCTTTAATCACCAAATGAGACAGGTGGCATCTATACATAAAGCATCTGAAAGTATCGTCATGCAAAGAAATGATAAATATTAAAGGGAGAAGTAACTTTATGCAGACGATAGAGTGAAGTGGTCTAAAGTTCTCAACAACAACAAACTTTTTTCCCAACTAATTGGGGTAGGCTCTAAATTAAAAACGTTAGAATTCAGAAGTTACACAAAAGTTAATTCCCCTAATGCTACAAACCAGAAAACACCCTTTCATGCCCTCCTATTCAAGGCCAACTCCTATGGTATATCTAATTTCCACCAACCCTATCCCTCCTAACACCCTCCTCTTTGTAGAAATTTCTGTTCCATCTAGAGCTGCATATGTGTGTTGGAGTTGACCATACATCTCAACAAGTCTTTTCCAACTCATCAAGAAAGTAGGAATTAAAACATAAAGGAAACCAAATGACCATCACACAGACCTTAGGCTTGCCTTTCTGCTGCTTGGGTATTTGAACATTTTAAATTGACACATACAGTGTACAAAAGCTTGAGCATCAAGCATTTATTACTCAAGGGGAAAAAGATGACAAAGTCCATACTGACAAAAGGGAAAAGCCTGGATATTAGAAAAAATGTATTGTTATGAACTCTCTGTCCAGCTATATATATGCTCTTGTTTAGTTAGCGTACCTTTCCTCCTTCTTGGTTTCTCTATTTTAATCTCACATGTAAAGTTTTTCCCTCCTCAGCTATTGCACCTGCATGCCTTGTTCAGGATAGCTTGACCTTTATTTTTTCTATCTAATGTTTGTACTTTTAGCCTTGTATGTTTATTCTGTCATTGCTCAAAATCTTGGTCCTGTGGATTAACCAAATTTGTGTTCTTACAAGAAAAAATAAAATACCAAAAAGTTATCTTCAATTCAATCCTAAATTCCTATTGTACCACATGTGATTCAAGGATCACCAGACACTAGCTGAAAAAAATTATGTCGCAGGAATTTGTTGAAGGATGGATTTTTCAAAGTCCAACTTGGGTTTCTAAAACCATACATGTATTGTACAATTAGCCAGTAGATCAAATTAGTGGAAATACGTTGTAATGGTCCAGAATCTATTAGCTGTCTGTTTCATTGGCATGTTTCTGAAGGAGTGATGGAATTTATGGAGATCAAGACCCAGAAGAACAGCAGTCCTTTCTAATACTTGTGCAGTAATGTTAATATGTTATTTAAGTAGGCAAATCTCCACAGATTCCCCCCACGAAAATAAACACACCAAAAGGTCTGCCATTTAACTCTTACATCTAAATCCAGACTAGCTCGTAAAATAACGAATCCGAGATGCAATTTTTTTGAAACTAACCAAACATTTAATTTCAATAATGCACGCATCTTCCTTATTATACTCGAGATATTTATCGAAAACCTGATCAACATACATGTCATCAAATCATCCAAAACTAACAAAAACAAACCAACCTGCACCTCATCAATGAAACTCCAGAATCTGAATAAATTTAACACACATTAGGTTTCCAAAGTCTACGTAGGCCTTAAATTAGTTTAGTAAATGAAAATGACAAACACATGGAAAATTAGGGTAAAATACGTAGATCAAAGAGGTCAGATGTCGAATACAACAACAAAATGATCACAATAATCATATTACCTGAAGGAGGAAGTGGTTGTGGCTTGTGAGGCGAAGATTTCGTCGGATGAGCCCCTTCATTGGACGAAGCATAACCAGAATCCGGCGATCCCATTACGTTGGTGCGTGTTTTACAGCTCTAGATGCAGAAAGATCAAGAGATAGCAGATGAAATTATACCCAAGTTTCAAAAGCTTTTGCAGAGTTTAGAGAGATAGAGAGAATGCAAGTAGTATTATTATACCTGAGTTCAGGTCGCTGATGCAGCTTGGTGTCCACAACTTGCAAACTCCCATCCCTCTCCTTTCGTGAGAACCGCCTCTATCCTTCTTCATTGTGCTTTGGATGAATTACATTTACGGTCCCTTCACTATTTGCTCATCTCCATTTCAGTCCTTTGACTTTTAGTTTGACAAACTACCCAAAAGAATGTTGTGTTTTGTTTTTTTTTTTTTTAAATAGGACGACAGATCTAACAAATTTATTAGTAACAAGCAAAAAATACATCTAGGGGTGTAAATGATACGATACAACTAGCAAACTATTCGAGATGGACTCAGTCAACACTCGACTCGAATAGGCTCGGCTCGATCTCGACTCGACATATTAACGAGTCGAGTCAAGCTACCCAATACTCGACTCGAAAAGTTCGTGAGATACTCGATTATTTTATATATAATTAGTTTCAAAATATAATCAGTTTTTATGATAAAATTTGTAAAATATAAATAATAAAAATGTCTTATATTTTTAGATATTTAAACAAAATTATGCATTTTAATTTATAAAAATTAATCAATTATTTTTTATTAAAATCACAATTGAAAAAAGACAAAGAAAAACTATAAAAAAGGTTATTGAAATTGTTCCACATTGAAAGAGAGATGGTAAAGAATAGGAAGAAAAGATGTTATAAAAAGAAATGGAAGTGAATGAAATTTCTAACTTTGTCTTTTTAATGATGAAGTTTGAAGTTGATTCATTTAGTTTTATAAAAACTAAAAGAATACCTTTAAGTTTTAAAATTTATAAGAGAAAGACCTTAAAATTTCATAAATTTTAATGGGTAAGCTTGGTTCAAGTTCGAGTTCAAACTTGATTTGAGTTGCAGTTCGAGCTTGTTTTAAGCTTGATTCGAGCTCGATTTCGAACTCGAGTCGAGCTTTAATTTTTACTACTCGTGAGTTTTCGAGTCGAGTTCGAACTTGAAAATTAGGTTTTGAGTTCGAGTCGAGTATAGTGATACTCGAGCNCGAGTCGAGTATAGTGATACTCGAGCTTTAATTTTTACTACTCGTGAGTTTTCGAGTCGAGTTCGAACTTGAAAATTAGGTTTTGAGTTCGAGTCAAGTATAGTGATACTCGAGCTTGACTCGCATCATTTACACCCCTAATTACACCTAAATGATGTGGGACTGCCATTCACAACGCATGTCCATGCAGCTAACTGGGATAAGCTCTATTGTTATACATTGGATTACACTAACTCAAATTTATCAAACGTGGTTGGAGCTACTTCCATACCACGTAACGTAAATCCAAAAATAAAGTCAAAAAAAATACTAATCAAAGGTGTACAAACAAAAAATCTAGCGAGATAATTGAATCAGCTAAGTCACGTTTCCAACCCATGCTTCCATTCCTTTATACAAACTTAGGTTGTCCTTCGGCTTGCTCATGATGGTTTTCACTCTAACCACCCGCTTAGTTGTCTTAATTAGGTCTTCCGAAGATGTTGGCGAAAAAGTCCTTTGTATGTCGTCTATGGTAAACTGTAGCACCTAAGGCAAGCTTTCGAATTATTGCACTAGCTTTGAGTAGGGGTCAACAAAGGCATCCATCCAATGTGTGATCTTCGGTCAGTTATCACCCACAACGGTGCAGTCTCCATATCAGCCCCTCTCTTGCACCAGTTCCTATACTTTTTTAACAAATGGAAGCAGGTTCAAGAAAATTTTCAAGCAGCAACACTATGTGACCATAAGAAACAAACCTATAGGGTGTGTTTGGTGTCGAAACAAGACAGATTTGTTAATTAGTTTTTTGTCTCTAAAAAGAAAATGTCTCGCAAGATTTGAACCCACATTCTTCCTTTAAAAGGACCTTAATATGGCAAGATACAGCAATCCTACCACCACAAACTAAACTAGTGTATTTTATTTTAGTTTCGTAGAAATATAAGGCGCTATATAAAATTAAAACGGCCATTAAAAAAAGTCAATTGCATCATGCACCCCCTCCTCTCTATAGATTTTTGAGCAAATTACGCTTTTAGTCCCTATAGTTGCCACCCGCCATCATCCCTGACTCCTCCATAACTTCTCCTGCATGGAATCATCTGCAACCTCTAGTTTCGCCCAGCCGGTAAAATCCTTTCTGTAAACCTTCACCTTATTCATAAACACATATATTCAAATAAAATTCACCTTTTATTTTTAATTGAAATTTAAACAAATACTAAAAACACGAAAATACCTCCAGAGTCAATGGTGGACTTACTTAACTGAAGTTAGTCTGACTGAGGGACCAAAAGAGAAACAAAATGGTAACCACAACGAATAAACGGTAATTAGTTCAAAAGAGTGACGAACGTTGATAGTGGATGCAACCACATGGTCCAAAAAGGTAATTTACTCACAAATTTATTAGCAATTTGCATAAGAATACAACATATTTTGATTTGATTCATATTTTATGTAAGCGTAGTTCCAGAAAAATCAATTTGCTACTTCAGATTTGACATCTCAATTATTTAGAAATCTGGTTTGCATCTAAAAATGAAGCATACTTTAATCTGATTTTCATATTTTCTATAAAGTGCTTTAATCTAAAATTTTAAAATACCACATATAAAGTGATTGAAGCAAAGTCTATTCCATTTTTCATATAATTTTCCTAATTTTATTTATAAACATTATTTATATAGCATATTTATATTTGCACTTTCCTAGAATGGTACTCGCATAATACAGCAAGATACATTTTTATTTTAATGTTTTTTTTTTTTTTGTATTTTTTGATATAATACGATTTATGTGGTTTTGAGAAATATAATTTTTTTACTTTAGAATAAAAATAAATTTGAAAAATATATTGAAATTAATATCAAATTAGCTATTTAAGATTTCTCATTTTTTTACAATTTATTTAATTTAATTTTTTATTTTAATTTAATTTAGGTCAAATAGTGAAATAATTTATTTTTTGCTTAACAATAAACTTTTTATAAAGATAATGATTCTATTAGAACTCAATGATTATCTTAATTATATTTTAAATTTTTTATATTTAAAATGAGATGTTTATCCTGTATTTGGTTATGTTTATCTGCAGTTATTTATACGAATTCAAAAATGAAGCTTTAATAAGTTGTACTTACGCATAATTTACTTGTAATCTTAAATTTTAAGTAATATACATTAATACACGGCACTTCATGCATAAAAAATAGTTTTTAAGAGTTTTTGTCAAATGTTTTATAATACTAGAAGGGTACTCGCACAATATAGCGAGATACATCTCGATTTTAGTGTTTCATTTTTTTAGTCGATGTTATAATACGGTTTTATGTTGTTTTGAGAAACAGATAATGTTTTTTATTTTTGAATAAAATATAAATATGAAGATATCATAAAAAAATTCTCGTTTTTTTGTGTATTTCTTTAATTTTTTATTTTTAGTTTAATAATATAATTTTTTATAAAGATAATAATTAAGTATTTTGTTATAACTCAATGATTATTCTAATTATATTTTGGTTTTTTTATATTTAAAATAAAATGTTTATCGTCTATTTGATTATATTTATCTGAAGTTAGTTACACGAATTCAAACATGGAGCTTTAATAAGTTACACTTACGTACAATTTACTTGTAATCTTTAATTTTAAGTAATATGCATCAATAAACAATATTTCATGCATAAAAAATGATTTTTAAGAGTTGTTGTCAAATGCTTTATAATATAGTATAGATATATGTTGAGGAGAGGGTTTTCACAAACTCAACTTTGGATAATTTTGAAAGATTACCGGAGTTTATAATATGATCAACGTTTTATATTAGAAAACAATCGAGATGCTCATTAAATTAGGTTATTTACTAGAGTAGATGAACAGTTGAGATTGATGTATATAGTTTGTACTAATGATTGATTTTATAAATGAAACTGCATCTATATATGTTATATATTTGTTGTAAAAATATACTACATATTACGTTACATATTATATATTGTGTTTTTATATTATTTTATATAATTATTTGAGAACTCCAAAATTTGTGAGATCCATGAAAGCTTCTACCTTAAGGTTTGTTTCACGTGATTTTTTCCTCTAAGTATAGTATTGAATATATTGATTAACATATATTTGTTTTACAATATGCTTGTTTCACATATATTCGGCTCACAAAGCCCGACTAATCCCCGGCAAATTTGGAGGCTAAACATGGCCCCACTTAAATGTCGCCAACACTCCCCTCCCAGGGCTCGAACTCGGGTTCATGACTATGTCATGCCCAAGCCTTTACCACTAGGCTGGAAGGTCTTTGACTATGTGTATTTTTTTTGTTTCACAAATACGCCAAAAAAATTCACATTGTGAATCGAATACATATGAAATAAATAAATATATGTTAATTACTAAATGAAATTCTATTGATAGATGAAATATATATATATATATATATATATATATATATATATATATATATAG